GAGTATAGTTTAATCAATGACTTACATTTTGTCTTTGCGTCTGTTGCTCCTCGATTGCTCGACTCTGCACCAGTACTGGACTTGTTCAGTGTCCTCGCCAGATGTTTCATACGGCTCAGCCTTATAGTGCCCGTCAGTTTAGCCAGCTCCTCCAGTGGTATCCCCACACTCTGGTCAGAGTCAACCAAGCTGGCTCCGGAGGTGGTAAGGCTGCCTCCGGTGATTGATTGGATCTGAGAGTCGAGGCGGCTTATCTCTGCTCTCTGCCTTCGTAGCTGGTAGTTCTTGCGGCGCCTGGCCAAATGCCTCTCCCTCTCATCTTGGCTCATAGACTGTCTTCTTTCTCTGTCTCGTAGACGCCTTCTTTCCCTCTCCTGCTCCTTCCTGTCTCTCCTCATTTCCACGCCCTCTTCCTCCATTCTATGATCACTCGCATATGTCTCCTCTGAATCTGCCATTAAAGTGTAGACCCTTGAGACTATACATAACATATGGTTGATGGAGGAGCAACTATACAACAAATGAGATTAATTATTCCAGATTAACCCAGAAGTAGAAAAGGATCCACATTTACGCGTGGATCTATCTATTCTAACAAATAAACCCTAAGGCTCAGACTACTTGACAAACACGTTTCATATTCGACGGACGCAAAGGAAACACACAGGACAAGGCAAAGGGCAGACGCAAAGCCCATGACGAGAGTTAGATCAGAGCTACGAGAGCCATTTGTGCATGTGTGTGGTTCCAAAATCGACAAAAGAGAACGATGCGATAGAGATAGAGAGATTGAAAAAGACTGACCTGAACATACGTCACCGAGTTGAAGCGTCGGCGATGAGAGACGACGAGCGTTTCTCCTCCCTACAAATATTCCCTTTGTGTAATTCTTTTTTTTCTTTTAATTTCGATATTTACCCTTAATCAATCCTCTGATTAATGGACTTTCCATAAGTTACATCATAGCATTTGCTAATATAAGCTTTAGGTGCATTCCATTTAGTTAGATGATAACTCTGAATATCATATTTCCAAAGGCTGCAAATAGTAAATCCGGTCCTTGTTAATATGTGTAAGATCATCTGTACAAATGACTCAACAACGAATAGTTTTACGCGCACCACAGATTTCCGATGGTTGGTTTTCTACTGTCATCAGCTCAATGTGAAGTCGAGTCTACCATCAAACAAAAGCAGTATAACCACAAAATTCCAATGCTTGGAATGTACTATGTGGAAGAAAGACCTTAATAATCTATTTTAACAGATGGATTTGAAAAATCATCAAAGTCTGTTTCAAACTCTGACTACATCTCTAAAATTTCCATAATTTCCAACGCCCATTGACATGCATTACTCCCGCAATTAAGAAACCTTCAGGCGATCTAAAAGCTTGGCGGCCATGAACTAAGGGATCCCATTCTATCTCTAAGTATCAAACAAAAAGCTTGTTTTAGTTTGTCAAGAAAACAAATGTTAGGGAAACATTTCAACAAGGTAAATGAAGCTCTTTCATCCACAATTCTCTTGCTTCCATCACCTGCAACAAGGTAAATGAAGCTCTTGCTTCGATTCAAGACCAATCCACATTGAAAGCGAGAACCGTTAAGGTTTTATCCATAGAAAGGTCTGGAAGAGCAGAATCAATCAGATTGATCTATTTCTCTCTCCCTTTGATACATCCCTCTCCACAAAAACTAAACACAGGGGAAGAAGCTACCAATCGCCTCCTCAAGAAAATTCTTCTTATACTACAAAGACAATGGCAATCCTAGAAGCGATTCAAGAGCCAAAGGCAAAGGCAGAGTCTGAAACTTGCTCTAGTGAGTACCAATACAAGCTTTGAGATCTGTAGTGAGATTCAAGTATAACTCTGCAAGCCAATACCAGCACACACTACAACGTAAAGAGACATGAAAACAGGGGGAATTTATAGGCAGAGATGTCTCAAATATTATTGATGAAACGAAGTCATAACAGACAAACAGAGGAATGATGTATATAAATCCTCAAACAGCAGAGAAATTCAATTCAGAGAGGGTTTCAAATTGTAAAAGGATGAAGCAGGAAGAAAAAACCCTAGAGTCGCTTGGAGAAATCACCACGCTTCTGGTGACTAGCGACCTCACCGTCGTTGGGGAAAAACCCCATGAGTCGACCCGCCGAGTTCTGGTACGCATACATGAAACCTCCCATGAGGCCGATCAGTCCTCCCGTCACCATTGACGGTCCCTTGATTCCAGGCTTGATCCCTGAAGATCCACCAACAGACCCACCCATGAGGAACATTTCTCAACAAATTCAAACAAAAAACAAAAAGAGAAGAAATGTGGACCAGAGAGATAGCCGACGGTGACGGAGATGCCGGTGATAGTAGAGAAACGGAGGTAATCGAGGGTGCTGAAGTTGCCGACGACCTTGGTAAAAGGAGGATTCCGATCAACGACAGGGTACTGGGGCTTCTCCAACGCAGTGATGTCAGTGTTCATCTTCGAATCTCTGAATCAATCAATCTTAGCTTGGCTTCTTCTTTCTCAATCCGATCTCTCTAGGGTTGAAAACACGAAAGCTGGAAGCCTCCCCTTGGGCTTGGTCGCCCACAGACCCGTAAACTCCTTTGTTGGGCTCTCTATGGGCCCATTTTTTAAATTACATACCATTAACCAATGGGCTTTCAAACCATGACTCGATCTCCTGAATATATATATTCATTCCCCAAGAGTCAAGTCCATCGCTTGTGACCATGCTCTTTACTTAATAAATCTTCATTACTATTGTTTAACCTCATTTGGATCTTAACAAAACCAATAGAGATCGATTGCCTAACATTTAACCTTGAAAATCCATCCGTATAATAAACTAGACACAATTGTCTTAGCTTTACATGTTCGGTTTCTTCGTCCAGGAATTTTGGTTCACTTTGGTTTGTTTAACCTTTTTATGTTCTAGTTTGACTTATGTTTAGTAGTTTTTGGTATTTTTGCTTTCTACGTTC